AAGGTGCTCCAGACCATATATGGCAGCAATATTCCATAAAGATCAGAGTAAATTCCAAAGACAATTTTCAGATTTTCTTAGCACAATTCCAAAGTTTGCATTTGGAAATTCTGCAAAATGTCAATACTCTACACATTTCTACAGGGAGCATGTCCCAAAGACCATTACTACTGTTCATTGACTTTTTTTTAAGCATTCCACCCCAAGCAGGGTGGGAAGCCACTAGCACGCAAGGGGTTACAGAGAGTTGGAGCGAGAGCAAAGAGGAGTTATAGAGGAAAGGATGAAGAGAAGGATAGGGGATAAATCAAGGCATCTGGAGACGTCGATTGACATTATACTTGAATAGTTGGAGATTATAGATATCAGGGCAACAGGAAAAGGCGAGATGTGTGAGACATGAAGCTATTGAAGTAGAAGACACAGCTACATTTAATAGTTTCGACAGTGAAAGAGTGAGAGCGATATGCCAGCCTAGTAGAATGCTTAAATTCATGAAGTCTGGGAACCAGCGAAAGCAGATCATTGGAGCAGTTACCATGAAAGTATTTGTAAAAAAGACAGAGGGAGGTGACGGCACGTCTTTGAGAGAGCGACTGCAGACGAGATGCCAGATCAAGGCCAATTACATTGCATATCCGTCTCTGGATCTTATCAAGAACCTTGAGACAAACAGAAGGAGCACCAGACCATATAGGGCAGCAATACTCCATGGACTTCAACCTCTTGCTCTATACTTGTGTCCTTGAGCCAGGCTTAAACTTAGCAAATACTTACTAAGAATACTCATCACTGAATCTACTACTGAGACCACTGATCTGAATCATTCTAATGATGTATTTTTATTGCCATGTCTTTTCAAGTAGGCAATCATGGCGATGTGCAAACTTTTTCTTTATTAGCTGTAAACTGTTATGAATTCTTGGGATAGATAATGGAATGGTTACCTGTTGTTTTCACTATGGTCTTGAATTCAGAGTTGTTTGCTATCATATCTCCCTTCAGAATAATGGCTGATTGCTTTTTTTTATTATTTACTAATTGCTCCAAATTTTTGGGAAAGATAGTGGAGTAGTTTATCGTTTATTACCTTCTTCATAGTTTTTAATCCAGAGTGGTCCTATTCCTAGACTGGTTACAATCCAAAACTTGAAAGCCCAGTCTACTCTACTATTTAACACATGGTTTTGAGAAGAGATGATTTCATGCCTTTCCCATTAGGACAAAAGTGAACATAACAGATTAGACCAGAATTTGAAATCATCTTACCACTTCCATTTTCAACCATTAAACTAACTGCACATCTCTAATGGCTAGGTACAGTCTAACCTTTAGTCTGGCAACATTGGGACCAGACAACTGCTGGAACACAGAAAATACCAGATGAGAGAAAATACCTCTAAAAAAAATCTATGTAAAAATAGTCTTGCCAAAACTTTCCACATATAGATTGCTGTGTTATCAAAGGTAGGGCAAAACTTAAAATGGAATAAAACAAAGTTTTTATTTTAAAACATTTTTATGTTTATACATTCTTTTTATAGATACAAATATTTAAGTAAATGCTCTGTTTTATAATAAACAGTATTAATAACATTTACTGGCCTGAATGTCTGAGAAATTTTCATAGAAAATATTTGTCCCCCAACAGGAATTGAACCGTCATATAGCCTGATGTACCTTAACAGATTGAGCAACGGAGGATTGTTCAGTCAGCAAGGTTGATTTTACTGCTTTTAAACTACAATCTTCCATGAATCTCTCATGTACATTTATATCTGCTCAAAGCATATCCAAATGCATTTACTTAAATATTTGTATCTATAAAAAGAATGTATAAATATAAAAATGTCTTAAAATAATTGTGAAACTTTGTCCATTTCATAATGTGTAAAGTTTTTATTATTTCATGCCACATAAAGGCTTACAATTCTTACCTCTAGGACTATCACTGCTCTCTTGGGTAGCATTCTGAATGGGTAAATATGCAGCTATATACAAAAAAATGAGCAAGACCATATCCCCAAAACATTCCGCTGCTGTTGGTTGCTTCAGTTATATAAAACATGTGGTGTTGCTCTCGTCACTGCTCAATGAAATAATAGCAACTGATTCAAAAAAAGCACCAAACCATGGAAGTTACAGCACCTCATGTGCCAGATTAAAGACATCAGTCTGTTATTTGTAATACTGAGTCTCAAAGTTATCGGCTATAGTTACATAATATTAACTCATTTCACAATAATTTTAGCTATTTTACTATTCAAGAAAACATATCTAGGAATGGCTACACTGAATTACATCATTGTAATCTTTGTTTTTTTTTAAAGTAAGATTCAACCTATACAAAGCCCAGCAGCCATTCAGTGTAGAGTGTTACATTAAGAGCCAGTTTATATGTAGGGGAAGATAATGGCTAACTCTAGACTTGAACATGCTAAGATTGTAGTGATGATGGAAACATCCTCTTGGGAGTTGGTTCCACAGAGCCGTGGTTCATGGGAAGAAGCTGTTCGAGTGGAACTAACTTTTCACCAAAGGGATACTGAGGGAATCTGAGTTATTTGTTACAATTTAAGTGGTACGCTGGATCCTAGCTGTAGAGTTTAGACCTGGCAAGACGAAGGTATGTAGTTCGTCTGAGCACTTTCCATGGAAGTAGTAATAGAACAGTGAGAGTTTTGACACGTCCCCACTCCTAAGAGAGAGCTTGGCTTTGAATTGATTATATTATGTAGATAAGAAATGTAAACAGTTGAATTCCTAACTTTAGCAGTGATATATATTTTATAAATTTAATTTTTTTTTTTTAAGCATTCCACCCCAAGCAAGGCGGGAAGCCACTAGCATACAAGGGGTTACAGAGAGTTGGAGTGAGAGCAAAGAGGAGTGATAGAGCAAAGGATGAAGAGAAGGTTGGATAGGTCAGGGCATCTGGAGATTTGATTGACATTACATTTGAATAGTTGGAGATTATAACTATCAGGAAAACAAGAAATGGGGAGGGAGTTCCACAGGTGAGAAGTGCGAGACATGAAGCTGTTGAAGTAGAAGAGACAGCTACATTTAACAGTTTCAACAGTGAAAGGGTGAGAGCAAGATGCCAGCCTGGGAACCAGCAAAAGCAGCCCATCAGAGCAGTTACCATGAAAATATTTATAAAAAAGACAGATGGAGGCAACTGCACATCTGTGAGAGAGCGGCTGCAGACGAGATGCCAGATCAGGGCCAATTACATTGCATATCCATCTTTGGATTTTATCAAGGACCTTGAGACAATTAGAATGGGCTCCAGACCATATATGGCAGCAATACTCTATGCAAGGGTGAATGGTTGATTTGTAGATTTGAAGGATCAACTCTGGTGAGAAAAATTTCCTGGCACGGCACAGGGAGCCAACTTTCCTTGTGATGCATAGATATCAGAAGAAAGATGTTTTACAATAGTTTTATTGAAAGAAAATGTAAAAAAAGAATATCGGTGAATGAAGAATGAAGAATATTTGTGTGAAAGATGGCAACATTGTCTTACAAGGTTTTGTTTGGGAATAAGTAAATTGTCTACTTTTGATCTTTGCTTATGAAGAAGTGCATTTTTATGTATGAGAGACAGCAATAGATCAACATGAAAGGTTTTAATTTGTGTCTGTCTATATTTCTGAGATGAGGTATTATGTACATTATTTGGACTATTGTCCTCATCTTTGTCGAAATGTTTATCACAACATTTTGGCTGTTGTACGCTCCAGCCTTCTTCAGGTTGTTGGAATGTCAAGCTGAACCCTTTAGTCTACCCTAGTGAGCAAAATAAAGGGTTCAGTTTGATATTCCAATCACCTGAAGAAGGCTGGAGCGTACAACGGCCAAAATGTTGTGATAAACATGGCGACAAAGATGAGGACAATAGTTTAAATAATGTAAATAATAAATTTTATGGTTGATAAATTGTTTTCTTGATAAAAATGAAAAGTCTGTCTCTTACAGATATTGTATTTATCGTTCCAATTGTTTTTGGCAATGATTAGCTATTCTACATTTTAAAACTTATTGGAATTATTCTAATTGTGGCTTGTATCTCATTTTTGTAGCTTTCTAAAATTCTTTCATGAGACACACACACAAAATGAAAAAAAATACTCAGGAGTTCTGGGAGAGTATCAGCAACTCAATCGGTATACAGGAAATTTTTTAAAAGACATTGACGAACATCATGTCCATAATGAACTGAAACTCTGTCCTAACAACATAACTTCTGATAATCTGGGCACCAATTTTAACTCACACTGCATGCACATTTGATTTTAAACCAGTAAAGAAAAGCAAGAAGAAAGGACTAACTATTAACAGTAAGGAAACAGACTGCCTGGTCATTAACAAAAGAGATAGCCAAAGGTCGAAGCTAGATATTGAAGATATAGGAATCAAATAAAGACAGAAATTTGACTAACTGTGTAGTGTACCTACAAATGACAGAAATCGAAAGGCACCTGGGAATAGTGAAAGAAAGATGCTTTCCCAAAACTAAGCAAAGTATATCATCAGATATGAAAATGTCATTAGATACAATGAAAGCTGAACTTTTATTTAATCTCTAAACTCTAATCTCTAAACTCCTATATGACAGTGAACACTGGACAATGTATACACAGTTGGAGAAGTGAATTTAAGTAGCAGAAATGTGGTTCTACCAATAAATGCTAAGAATATCATGTGTGCGAGGAGGAAGTCTGAAGAAAATTAGGCTTATTGATTCTTTCATATTTTATGGCTTATCAACCCTTCGTAGGTTATTTAAAGACAGAAAAATGTTTTTTTGTAAGAATTTTTTGTGATAATAATGGTTTAGCAATACAAGTCTTACTGATTAGCCATAACTGGGGTGGAGAGGTGAATTCATAACTTTTGCATAAGTGAATATAACAAATCCGTCAGGAAGTGGAACTCAGTTCTCCGATTAACAATTCTGAGCCATTATCCATTACACCACCTGCACATCCAAGCTTACAGCAACTGGTATTCCCAAGCAGTTACCCATCTAAATACTGATTAGGTTCAACATTGCTTAACATCAGTGATCATAGGGGAACCAGTGTTCCAATATCATGTGGACATAAGCCAAGAAAAATAGAAATAACAAGGAAGCTGATACAATTAGAAAGGAACAGCTGGAATTTCTGGGACGCTTCCTGAAGAAAGGAGGCATGGAAAATCTAAAACTCACAGGGCCCAATGAAGGTAAGTGAAGTAGAGGAAAATAGCGAATAAGCTGTTTGATGACTGTGATAGATTCATTGATGTCTTTACAGTTAATCAACGCCAAATCATATAAGAATAATTTTTTTCTGAGTGAATAATTTTTTGCGAATAACAATAATTTTTCCAGATACAAGTCCTACTATTTAACCCATTGCTGGAGGGGTGAGATGAATTCATATCATTCCAAGGATATTTGCATGTAAGTGAGTATTAGGGACCCAACTGGAATTTGAACTCAGCTCTTTAATTTCTCATCCAGAGCTGCTACCACTACACCACTCACTCATCCCGAATGCGAGTGAAAAGGTGACAAAAGAAAAATAATGATAAGGTAATGAAATATGTAACATTTATTTAATTTGTATACAGTGTTCAATAAGTAATTGGGGTAAATTTACTCGGAATAGCAAAAGACAAAATGTTGTGGAGAGCTATGATCGCTCAAGTCCTGAAAAATAAAAGAAAAAGTGTTCACTGTGAATATATACACTTAACATACAGAAAAGTTTATGAGAAAAACATTTCTTGTGTCCAAACACACACAAACATACACATGACAAGAGAGAGAGAGAGAGAGAGAGAGAGAGAGAAGGTCTGTTTTTCTGGGGCCATTTGTGGAGACATTACTAATGCCCTGTGCGTATGTGTTCTGGGAGGTGCTTCAACACAGGAATTCTGAACTTTCTGTTTTGTTTAAAGATGGTGGGTTCTCTTTGATAGAAATACCAGTCGTGCTGATTAGTCCAAACATGTGTTTCATATGACATTTTATATTTTATGAAAACAGGCAAATATTCTGAACGAGTTGTGGTGTATCACTACCAGTGAGGCGCCCGCTGTGAAGTCTCCGCCTATTTTCTCGTCCAAAATAGTGATAGCATTGGTGTGCCGAGTGAGTGGAGAGACAGCACAAGAGATGATTGCTAACACAGAAAATACCTTCACATCAACAAATGGTATGTTTGGTACGTTATAAAAAAATATTAATTTTTAAATTCTTTTTCTTCTGTTTTTTTTTTCTCAAACTAGAACTAAAAATATTACATTGGTTATTGCGTTATAAAAAAAACATATATATATATACATATATATGTGTGTGTGTGTGTGTGCGTGTGTGTGTGTGTAACAAATGGTGGTATGAAAGCTATATCCGTGAGACTTTTTTTTTTTTCAAATTAATGAGAATGGACTTTATTTTTTTCAAGAAAAACAAACAATCCATTCTCTAATATAAAACAAAACATAACATTATATACTTATCGGTAAGGTAGCCTAATCTCCCTTATTTAGTAATGAATTAATCTATTGTTGTATTAACAGAAGCATTGCTCAATTCAAATAAGTGAACAAGACTGTTGTTACCATAACAATGGAATATCTCATTGGTAAGTAAAACAGATTAGGTTGCTAATACATTCCTGTTTTATTTCATTTGCCTCGAGTTTTGTAAGGCTATTTTTTACCTTTAATAATAAAAAGCAGGTAATTAATTGGGAACAAGAGTCCTGGATTTTTAATGGTAATGGTAACTGTAATATTAGCTTTTTCCTTATAAGGAAACATTTGGTAATCATTAACTGAGAGCAGCTTGTTCTACGTTGGTTGAAATTTGTAAAATCATTCACTTCAGATAATTTTTCAGGATGTAAGTTTTTCAAGTTCACTAGCTGTTGTCACTTTTTCCAATACTGATAGGAGTTTCCTTGTTAAATTTTTATTTAAAGTCATGTGGAATTTCAGGGGTCAGCAACCTATGGCATGCCAAACAATTTCCAATAGCATGCAGCTACAAATGACATCACAAAGTCTGAACCAATAACTACTACAATGCAAAGAAGATAGCTGTTTATATCTTATTATTTACTAAAGTATATATACTATATATTGTAGAACAGGTATACTAACATTGACTTGTATAAAAATACATATACTGTTGGCTCACTGAATAATTTTAAAACCCTAAGTCAGCACATAGTTAGCAAAAAGTTGCTGACCCCTAATCTAGATTATATCATTATTTTCCCTTCAAGTAACATGAGCTATCCATTTTAGTTGTTTCCGCTGTTGAAAGTCCTTGAGTCATTTGGTTTCCATTATTTTGTACAGTACTTTGTGATTCTGTAGCACGACTCCACAAGGCTCAAAGATGGGTGATCCTTGCTAGGACCAACAGGTTTCATTTGCTTGAAGCTGACAAAGCTGTTTAAGATGATAATTCAAATTTTTAGGTTAGTGTTTTGGTTTTGTGGCAATTGGTAGCATTGAGTGAAACTACTCCTAACACAGCATAAACAGTTTTCAAATTCTTTCTCTCTTATATTAATTTTTTTTATAATCATCATGCATATTTACAATTCTACCATTCATTGAATTGGATACTTCTGTCATATCTGGTCTGGTGTTCTTGTACACCTCAAGATTCTTGATAAAATCTGAAGAAAGATCTATAATATAATCGATCCTAACCAGGCATCTTGACTTCAGTCATTTTCTCTCCAATGTCTCGTGGCTTCCCTTTGTCTTTTCTACAAGTATTTTCATGGCAAATGCTTTGCAGAGATTTTCCTTGGTACCCCAACTACATAAACTCAAATGTCTACTCGATTGGCATCTAGGTCCCACCTGTTTACTGTTAAAATAGTTAAATGCAACTGCCACTTCTACTCCAACAGTTTCATTTCTCACATTTCTCACCTGTGGGACAACACTTCTGTTTACTTGCCCCCTGATAAATACAATCTTCAAAAATTTAAATGCAATAAATGCAATATCAGTCACCATCTTCTGTCTTCTTGAATCCCCTTCTTTTTTTGTTCTTTCCTCAGTCCTCCCTATACTCAGTTTTCCCTTTCAATTCCTGTAACACCTTGCATACTAGTGGCATTTCTCATTTATGGTTCCAGTAAACTAGAATATATATATATATATATATATATATATATATGAATTTAGGCAATATAAAATGCATAAACAGCATCACTCTTTCAAGACATTTCTGGCAATTAAAGAATACACCCATTATTATATGGGATATTGTAATTAAAGCCAATTCTTACATCTGGGAAAGGCAATAGTTGTAATTTATGTCTTGATGAAAAATTAGTTATCGTAAAACACTTAAATAACCTTAGCTTATTAAAGAAGAGAAATGAATTGATAGTAGGCATACAAATAAATATCTGCTCAAATATGCTGATCCAATTTTTTATGTAAATTAGGGTTTGCTTTTTTGAAAAGAACCAGTACTCTACCATGATGCTTAATATAAAAAATTATTATTCAAAACTCTAAAATATTTTTTTAAATAAATACATATAAATCTTGTTTATTTTAAATCTCAATTATATTTTATAAAACTGTGATCTTCATATAATATATGACTGTGCTAACATTACGGTAATCAGATATTTTTATTAAAATTTAAGTTATAAAACAGTTAGTCTATATTCAGCACCTGAAGATTGCATTGTGCATAAAACAAAAGTCATGCTACCGGTGAGGGATAATATGTATATTTATTATATATATATATATATATATATATATATATATATATATATATATATATATATGTGTGTGTGTGTGTGTGTGTGTGTGTGTGTGTGTGTGTGTGTATTGATATAACCCCAATTTAATGTCATACAGTTAATATCTGGGTTTAGTTTTATAAAACCTCTTCCTTTTAAGACTTCCATCCTCCCATGACCACTATCATGTGCATTTCACCTGACTGACACATTCAAATGGATAAATTCTGTATTAGTTTTTCAAACATATTTTTTTCTTTCTTAGTTTTCACAGTTAAATCTCTATTCCTGATATGAACTCAGTCTATACCGGGGTTGAATAAGACAGACGAATTATATATTCATCTGCCAAAATAAGCTTATTCCCCATATGAGGGATTTGGGATTTTATTGTGTATTAATTATTTGCTCTGTAATAATAAATTTTGTAGATTAGTTTAATATTTTGTAGATTAGTTTTAATATTTTATATTACTAGGATCCATTTGGATTATATACCAACAGATTTGTTACCATTACTATATATATATATATATATATATATATATATATTTTCAATAAAGGTGCAATCAATTTACAAATTCATGAATTATTTATACAAAAACAAATACAAAGGTTAATGATTTAATTGGCGAGAAATTTGTTTTTGTATGAATAATTCATGAATTTATAAATTGATTGCACCTTTATTGAAATAAAATAACTGATCCAAGTGCAACTTTTGGATAATAAGTGCAACATTACTGTAATTATTGAACAATATAGTTCATGCCACTTTGACAGAAAATTTACCAGTAAAAAAGAATTAAACTTATCACCATATTTGTACAAGAACGCACAACTGTAAAATTTAAAATCAAACTCAAGCGTTGCTACTGCACGCTCCAAAAACAATAACTCATTTCTAATAGCATTTTTGGATACAACAATACATATATTTTCGTTGTCCTCTTATTACTGAGAAAAAAACAAGAACAACATCTATTCCATACCTGAAGATGTCTATAGGAACAGACGAAAGCTTGTAGTAAAAATAAGAACTAATGTGACAGAAATTTATAAAAACAAGGATCTTTTCATTCATAACAGGTTCAGGGGTTTTTGTATATTATTTGAATTGTTTGCGACGATGGATTTCTCGCCAATTAAATCATTAACCTTTTGAATTTGTTTTTGTATGAATAATTCATGAATATATATATATATATATATATATATATATATAATATAAAAAGAAAAAAGAAAGAACAGTAAGATATATAATCCGGTGTTCTTATAGATATTTTTATTTTTACAAAATAGCGCTCAATGTAAA